GCATTTAAATGGCACTAAAATGAAATGTATGAAATTCATGACTCCAAATGTCAAACAATTAAATACTAATGTAATTTTAAATGGGGAGAAACCGAGCCTTGTAGATACCAGTAGTAGTGTAGTTGTACCACTTCTAGACCACTTGAGTCAGAAGCGGTTCAACGACGTTCGTCGACACACGATCCTAAAAAAAAAAAAAAAGGTTTTGGCATGCTCTGATCACGAATCCGCGGTCCAGTTTTGTGTAGAATGCACGGTTCCGGAGATGTGTAGATCAATTAGCTAATATCTAATTGATATCCGGTAAGGGCCTCCACCGTCATTAGCGTCCCATTGTTCCTATTTCTATTGTTCTATTGTTCATTAATCACCTTCATTGCAGCGTGTGCGTCGACTATATCAGTGCTATTGTATTGTACTTCTTTGTTCCTAATTATACAACGCTAATCTGAATCATCAATAAAACACATTACATAATTTTGTTACAATTTTTATTTATAAAATACAAAATCTTATTACTTATTATCTATAAAATAGGAGCGAAACATCTCATCCACTAAAATATCGTTGTACAATGTGTTCCTTGTAAATATACTCGTAAAACTATGTATTGAACATCCTTGAAACTTATATAGCAAATACATTAAGCAATATTCGCCACAAACTGAAGTCCACTCATTCTGAATCCTATCAACATTCCAGTTCCATCTTTTACAATTCCTTTTTAAAAACTCTAGATGATATCGTACAGGTGATCGTCCATATGAATCAAAATATTGACCGACGTCATTCGTATCGATATATAAAGCTACCCAATGTGACCCTGGTTTATCATCTGTATCCAAATTACATATTATATACGTTGGTACGTGGGTATACATAGGCAGTCTATTAGCTGCATAAACATTATTTTCTAGACTGGGGTGAATCTTTTTCAGATGTTGTTGTACATCTAGTGTATCCATGATATTACTGCTATTAGTACATTATTACAGTACCAATCTACTCAATGAATAACATAGGAATGGTCAATTATAGTGATTTCTAAATATTAAATTGCATTTTTGTGTTATACAAATCGTACTTGAGTCATTGATCACCAAACAAAACATAATACGAAGAAATGTTGAGATAGACAACGGAAATGTGAGATAAACTGTTTGACGCATAAAGTAATTATCAACTCATTACGGAAATACTTTAGATTAGAATTTTTACGTACTGGTGGTATATAAGACCAACAGACGCAGTCATCGAGTTAGTGTACGGTCGTTTGACTACAGTGGATCTATCAATAGTACATTTGTGTTACTTCAATACACCAAAGGCTATGGATGTAAGTGTTTATTCTATTGACTAAATTACTTTTTTTCTGTTATTTTCATGTGTGTGTATTATTTTATTTAAATATTGTGTATGTATATGATTAAGCCGTGGTAACTCAGATGGTTAGCGCTAGCTGTAAATTTCACAGTACGCGACCCGGGTTCGATCCCCGCCAGCACCAATTAAATTGTTAATCGCAATTTTAAGTGCTTATTACCACGTGCTTGGTGGTGAAGGAAAACATCGTGAGGAAACCTGCATGTCTGAGAAAATTTTGAAGGCATGTGAAGTTCGCCAACACACATTGAGGGAGCGCGGCGGACATTTCCTTGCTCTAAAACCCTCTCAGAAATGAGAGGAGGCCTATGTTCAGCAGTGGACTTTAATAGGCTGTAACTTTAACTTTTTAAACTTTTATGATTAAGTGTTAACAAATTGATATTAACATGATAACTGTGTTGTTGCAGAAATCATTGAGCTTCGATGAAGATACCTATAATAAACAGTATTACTACTCGCCACTCTCCCCTCAAGAAGAGAGTGATAACCTCGTCATTAATAATAACACATGCGATGGTGGAAAAAGAAAATCGCAATCGATTGATCATTTTTTTGAAGCTGAATCAAAAATAAAAAAGAGGAAGGGAAAACTTCAGTGAAGTGTGCACCAGTGCTTTTTTCTCCACAATCATGGAAGAGAATACGGAACTATTCAATAGCGAATTAAATCAGGAGTTGTCTAAAGTTTGTGAAGAAATAGAGAGGGGTCAACTGTTCGATTCGTCATACGATGATGAGTTGTATCATCACTGTGCGATGGTTGAAACACAGTTTAAGTATGTAAAATAAACATTCATTTCGATCATAATTTACATATTGTCTTATACAGTTTTTAATAAATTTAAACATTTTAGCAGTCAACCACTACGACTTGGAAGAGGAACGAAGCGAACGTGCAGCAAAGAATCCAAGATCATCAAAAAACCAACAACGGAAGCAGAAGCGCATACCTCTGCAGGGAACAGTATCAGTAACGATGATCAAGTGGAATGTCCAACGTGCCATATATTTATCAAGAAACGGTATTTAGCTAATCATTTTAAAAGTAATGTTCATAAAAATAATCTTTTAAATTCACATAATTCTTTATCAAACGTTAGTGTTATTGAATCTGCTTTTGGAAATAGGATTTTAACTTATAAAATCAAGAGTAGAGTAGATCGTTCGACATGGGTAAATTTTGAAACTCCTGAACTATTTTTAAATTCTATTAAAGATGATATTTTATTTTTATTACAAGAGTGTATTCATCAACACATAATTTTTAAGGTAAACTTCATATTGCATGCTGATTTTGTTCAACAAACTAAAGATATTCATGATACGTTCGATTTTCAAACGCTTAACTATATTATTTGTCAAGGAGATGACTTAAATATTTTTCTTTCATCTTTAAATGATACAATACAATTACTACTAAAATTAGTGCTTTCGAAAAAAAAGATAGTGGATGGAGTCTAAAAAACATAAAATCTATAGACATGAATGTTAATAAATTTAACCCCCTACGCGGTACTTCATACATAGATCTTCCTCGTGACATAAAATTAAAAAAGGCTGTTATAAATGTAAAAAACAAGGATTATTTTTGTTTTAAATGGGCGTTACTCTCGGCGTTATATCCTGTAAACAAACACACCGATCGGGTATCATCGTACGTTAAACATGCAAATAAACTTAAATTTGATGGTATTTCCTTTCCGGTTAAAATTTCTGACATAGCAAAAGTAGAGAAATTAAATGATATTAGTATTAATGTTTTTGGGTTAGAATATAATAAAGAAAAACGATGTAATTCTATAGTAGGTCCATTATTTTTAACAAAGTGTCGTAAAGATAGACATATCAATTTATTATTTTTTTCCAAGGATACAAAAAATCATTATTGCTATATAAAAAATTTATCGCGGTTAGTTAGTAAACAAATTTCAAAAGACGGTCACATCATGTACATTTGTGAAGCATGTCTACTTCGTTTTCCATCTCAGGAAAGGTTAAATAACCATGAACAATACGATTGTGCCCACATTTGTACAGTATTACCAAACAGTGAAACTTTAAAAAAAAAGAATTGGTTTGGTCAACCTATTTCAAATGATAAAATTAAATTTGATAGTTATGAAAAAAAGTTAAAGATACCATTCGTAGTTTATGCTGATTTTGAAGCATTTTTAAAACCAATAGAATCATGTTCTAACGATCCCTCCAAACCTTTCACTCGTAATATTCAGAAACATGAAGTACATAGTTTTGGATATTATATAAAATGTTCATATGATGATAAATTATCAAAATATGTAACATATTGCGGACCCAACTGTGCACAAGTGTTTATGGAAAGTTTATCTAACAATCTAAAAGAAATAAATAGACTTCAAAAATATCCACCACTTCCGCTAACAAATGAAGACAAAAACCAAATTTCAAATGCAACCATTTGTCATATTTGTGAAACTGAGTTGGCAAAACATTTTTATGATTTTGATTGGTACACTGGTAGTTTTATAGGTGTTGCTCATGAATCATGTTGTTCGAAGATCAGAACACCTAGTTATATACCAATATTTTTACACAACCTTAGTCACTATGATGCTCATTTTATTGTTCACGCGTTAAACTTTTGTGATGGTGAAGTCGAAGTTATCCCTCAAAATAAAGAAAAATATATATCCTTTTCCAAAAAATTAAAAGTGAATAACCACGAAATTATATTGAGATTCTTAGATTCATTTAAGTTTTTATCGTGTAAATTAGAAGAATTGGCCAAAAATCTCAGTAATGATCAATTTCAAGAATTACGTAGAAATTACCCTAATGATAAAGATTTCTTTCGTTTAAAACGGAAAGGTGTTTATCCATATGAACTTATGACTAATTATGATAGTTTAAGTCTAACATCGCTCCCTGAACAAAAATGTTTTTATAGTTCACTCACAGATTCACATATTTCAAATGATGATTACAATCATGCTAAAGATGTTTGGGAACATTTTGGGTGTTGTAATATGCTAGATTATTCAAACCTGTATTTAAAAACAGACGTTTTACTTTTATCCGATGTATTTGAAAACTTTAGAAAGTTATGTATTAATACATATGATTTAGACCCTGTCCATTATTACACAGCACCCGGTTTAAGTTGGGATGCAATGTTAAAATATACAAAAATAGAATTAGAACTTTTAACAGATTATGAGAAAATTGCATTTATTAGATCAGGTATCAGAGGTGGTGTATCTCAATGTAGTAATCGTTATGCTAGAGCTAATAACAAATACATGGAGGATTATGATACAGGGAAACCAAATTCATATATCACATATTTTGATGCGAACAATTTATATGGTTGGGCTATGTCTCAATATCTTCCTACTGGTGGATTCGAATGGGTAAATCCAAATACAGAATTTAATGTGTCTAAGACATCAGACTTCGGTTTTATTTTAGAAGTTGATTTGGAATATCCAGATGAACTTCAAGATTTACATTCGGACTTTCCTTTATGTCCAGAAAACATTTGTGTAGGCAATATTAATGAGAATAAACTAGTCCCAAATTTAAATAATAAAGATAAATATGTAATTCATTACAGAAATTTAAAGCAGTGCATAGAAATGGGGGTTAAATTAACTAAAATTCATAGAGTTTTAAAATTTAAACAGTCTCCCTGGTTGAAGATGTACATAGATCTAAACACAAAATTAAGAACTTTAGCAAAATCAGATTTCGAAAAAGATTTTTATAAATTAATGAATAATTCAGTCTTCGGTAAGACTATGGAGAATATTGAAAAAAGGGTTAACATAAAATTAGTTACGCACTGGGAGAACCAGGGTAAAGCTTTAGGTGCTCAAGATCTAATCGCTAAACCACAATTTCGTAGCCTTTCAATATTTTCGGAAAACCTAGTTGCGGTTCAGTTGCGAAAAACGAAGTTAATATATAACAAACCAATTTATTTAGGGTTTTGCATTTTAGATATTTCAAAAACATTAATGTATGATTTTCATTATAACTATATGATTAAAAAGTTTAGTAAAATCAAATTATTGTATACAGATACGGATAGTTTAATATATCATATATTTACAAATGATTTTTACACTGATATAAAACCTGACCTTTCATCATACTTTGATACCTCAGATTATGATACAAATAATATTTTTGAATATCCAAAATTAAATAAAAAGAAATTAGGTTTTTTTAAAGATGAAAATAATGGTAAAATCATGAAAGAATTTGTGGGTTTACGATCCAAAATGTACGCTTTTAACTTAGAGAATAAGACTATAGCCAAGGCAAAAGGGGTAAATAAATGTATCACTAAAAAGATGACAATGAATAGTTATAAGTCTTCTCTATTTAATAAAAAAGTGCATTATTATAGTATGCTTAGATTTAAATCAATTAAACACACAATTTTCACACAAAAATTAAATAAGATAGGTTTATCATATAATGACACAAAGAGACATATTTTAGATAATAATATTGAAACATTAGCTTGGGGTCATTATAAACTGCGTTAAGTGTTGATAGTTTTTACTTTTATGTCTGCGTTTAAGAAAAATTTATATTGATTGTAAAATTATGATAATACTATAATATGACGTAGTTTATTACATATTTAATCATTGTTTTATTGTAAATAATTTAAGTTAATTGTTGTTTCTATTTATTTGAGGTTGAGTTAATTGTAAAATTATGATGTACTAATTGTTGTTTCTATTTATTTGAGGTTGAGTTAATTGTAAAATTATGATGTACTAATTGTGTTAGAAATAGTATACAGATAATTCTGTTTTATATAATTTTTGGAATATATATTAATTGTTTACACCAACACTTTCATTTTTTATTTCACCCCTTTGATCTTTAGACGTGTGTTATGTTTCACTTTATCCATCCGTTCACTGCTATTGTGGCAGGACCAAGTGGGTGTGGGAAGTCAAATTTTGTAACAAATTTCATAAAATCAGTTACAGAAATATGTAATTGTGATTTTAATCAGATCACATGGTGCTTTGATGAAATGCAACCATTATATAATTTACCAAATGTTAACTATCATCAAGGAATTCCAAATCTTAATATGTTTGATGGTGAAAACCCACATCTTGTTATTATTGACGATCTAATGAGAGAGTCCGATGGAAGAATTGTGGATATATTTACAAAAGGTAGTCATCACAGGAATCTTAGTGTATTTTATCTAACACAAAATTTATTTCATCAGGGTAAAGGACAAAGAGACATATCTTTAAACTCAAGTTATATAATATATTTTAAAAACCCTCGAGATAAAACTCAAATAAGATATTTAGCAAGACAAGTATCACCAGATAACCCAAAATTCATTGAAAATGCCTACAGGGATGCTACTCTAGAGGCGCATGGATATTTAATGGTAGATTTAAAACAGAATACCAATGATTTTTGTCGTATCAAGACAAATGTCTTTCCATTTAATGGTTTCTGTACAGTCTACGTCCCCACAAAAGAGTTTAAATACACCAAGAATCAAACAATTGAAATCATTGCTAAATGATGCATCGTCGACTCACAACGTATAAACATTTGCTAACCGCTTTGCATACGCTTAAACCAAAATATCAAAGAGCATTACTTAAAACGTGTGATGAAGAAGAAATTAACTGTATTTGTGAGTGTATTCATAACGTTTTACAAGGAAAAGTACCTGTTAAAGATCAGGATAAATAAAAATTGAATAAACATAAAAACATACTCCGTAAACTAGTAGGTAAGTGTAAACATAAACTAAGAAAAAATATAATTATACAAAAAGGAGGGGCTTTCTTACCAACAATATTAGGTGCAATATTGAGTGGATTAGTGAGTGGACTAGCCAGTTAACATGGAAAATGCAAAGAAAATGATACTTATCGAACCTGGATTGATTGAAAAATTAAAACAAGAAAATAAGGTTAATAGTAATTTATCTCGATTAGATATTGAAATGCAAAATATTATGAATAGTAAGACGGAAGACCGAAAGAAATGGATATTATATTTACAAACACTGCAAATATACCTTCATTTTACCGAAGAGGATCGTCAACCACTCAAATTACCAATTTATTCTGATACATCTAATGAAGATTCAAATGAGTCAAAAATTGGTTTTAAAAATAAAGATAGAGATCTAAAAACTTCAGTTGATATTGAATCTTTGCTGGAGGAGAATCGATCCATTAAAAGTAAAGAAAATGATGAAAATCCACTTTACACACCAGCTCAAATACTCAGTTTAATACCAAAAACTTATCATAAAAAAGGGCAGTTATTATTAAACTTAGTTGAAACAAGTAAAAGTAAAATACATTGGGATAATGAAGGTACAGTCATAATTGATAGTGAAAAAATTCCTGGAAGTAATATTGTTGATTTAATAAATGATTCACTAAGACCCCTAAAAAGAAGTGATCCGGTAGGGTGGGTTAGATTTGCTGAAGCATTAAAAGATATTAAAGTACCACTTACTTATATTGGAAATCCAAGGAGATGTGAGTTTATTAACCAACTTCAAGCAAAAGATCTGAACAAACCCTCTGAGATTGAAGTTCAAGAGTTTTCTACACCGTGCAGTAGAGATAAAAAGTCTACAACTAAAATACGTAAAGGACTTGAGTGGGAAAAATGGAGCCCGTACTTGAAGAAATTAACAGGATTTATTATGATCCATCTAATCCCGCTGGTTTTGGTAGTATTGATAAATTATCAAAAGCCATGAAGGGTAAAATGAATAAAAAGCAAGTAAAGGAATGGTTAAAATCACAAGAAACATACACATTACATAAACCCATTCGAAAAAAATTCCCGCGTAATAGGTACATTCTATCAAATATTAATGAACTGTGGCAAGCTGATTTAAGTGATATGCGAACTTATTCTCAATATAATGATGGTTTCAAGTATATACTTTGTATTATTGATGTATTTAGTAAATATGCTTTTGCAAGACCAATGAAAAAGAAAAACTCAGAAACAACTAAAGAATGTTTTGAAAGTATATTTACTGAAAGTAATTTAACACCTACTCACATACAATCCGATAAAGGTACAGAATTTGTTTCAAAAGATGTACAAAAATACTTTAAATCCAAAAAGATTAATTACTATACCACTAACAATCCTGACATTAAGGCTAGTATTGTTGAACGATTTCAAAGAACACTAAAAATGAAAATGTGGCGTTATTTCACTCATAATAATACTTATAGATATATAGATGTTTTACAAGATTTAATATACTCTTATAATCACAGCTTTCACTCTAGTATTAAGATGTGCCCATGTGATGTAAATTCCAACAATATTATGACAGTTTGGACTAATCTTTATGATAGACGGTCAAAAAAACTTTCTTTAGAAAATCCTAAACCAAATTTCAATGTGGGTGATTATGTTCGAATAACTAAATATAAACATGTATTCTAAAAAGGATATGAATCAAATTGGAGTGATGAAATATTTATTATATCTTCAATAATTGATAGATCTCCATGGGTTGTTTATACAATAACAGATTTACAAAATGAACCAATAATTGGTACTTTTTATGAAAGAGAATTACAGAAAATCACTTACAACCCCACCTCACAACATAAAATAGATAAAATAATTGACACTCGTTATTCAGGTAACAGAAAAGAAGTATTAGTGAAGTGGAAAGGTTATCCAGATAAATTTAACAGTTGGATTTTAGCTTCTAGTTTAAAAGAAATATGAATAAAGAAAGTTTCTATTTAACTTTGCTCAGCAATAGTTCAATGGAATACTTTCCTGATAACAAGACCACAAATTTTTCAACGAAATTACCAAAAGCTATAAAATTAGAAGGTGAATGGTCGGTTGGAGTTGTCGAGTTTCAATATCCATGTACCATGTTTACTGTTCAAGACCATGAAAATGTTATATACATTACAAAATCTATGTTAATGCCTAATGAAGATAAACCATCCACAGTGTACTACAAAAAACATATTCCAGCTACCAACTATGATAACGTTGAGCATATTTTAAGAGTGTTAAATGGTATCGGAGAGAACTTGAAATTTCGCTATGATGAAATAACAAAATTTGTGTCTATTTCGGTATTGGATAAAAATATAACATCCGTAACATTATCACCCAAATTAAGTTTACAGCTAGGTTATGAACCAAATAAAAATCTCCTAGAGAGAAATTTTGGAAAGTGTCCTGCTAATTTACACTTAGGGTTACCATCTCAACTATTTCTATATTGCGACATTATCGATCCTCAGATTGTGGGTGATGTTATGACTCCTTTATTAAGAGTCATTTCATTAGATCCTACAAAATACATTTATGGTGCAAATAAAATGCACGTTTTCTCTCAACCTCACTACTTACCTGTTATGCGAAGAGAGTTCGATACGTTGGAAATAGTTATAAGATCGAGTACAGGACAAAAAATACCATTCCAGTTTGGAACCGTGTGTATTAAACTACATTTCCGAAAATTATAATAATGAATTCTCTTCGTGATCATCATAAATGTCCATATGAAAATTATTATACATATCAAGCTGGATCAGGAGTTGGAATAATTTATAAGGGTTCACCATATCAACGCGGTCATGGTATTGGGAGCTTCTTAGGGGGGTTATTCAGATCAGTTTTACCTTTACTTTCAAGTGGTGCTCGAGTGATTGGTAAGGAGGCATTAAGCGCTGGAGTAGGACTTTTATCGGATATGGTTCAAGCCCGTCCTATGGAAGCCTCAATAAAAGATCGTCTAAAGCAAGTTAGTACGAATTTAAAACGAAAGGCTGATGAGAAAATTGATCAATTTAACATGACTGGATCTGGGTATAAAACTAAAAGAAAACGATTGACATCGTTCATTCCACCATTAACTGCTAAAGTGAAAGCTGCGAAAAAACTTTGTCTAAAACCAAAAAATATCAAAGATATATTTTCAAACTAAATATGTCTTTCCTTCATAATCATTCTTGTGAGTGCGTTAAGTCAGAATTGGATTTGTTTGCACTACCGTCTACACAAACTAGCATTGAAAATGGATTGTGGATTCATTATAAACCAATTTCATCTCTTGGTGATGATGGACCTATCGAGTTTCAAGTTCCTGGGACCGGCGATGACTACATAGATTTGTCTCATACATTACTCCACATAAAGGCAAAAGTATTAAATCAAGATTCAACTAACTTGGTATCTACTACAATAGTAGCACCTGTAAATAATTGGCTGCATTCACTTTTTAGTCAACTTGATGTTTATTTAAACCAAAAACTTGTATCACCACCTAATAATACCTATGCATATCGAGCATACATGGAAACCCTTTTAAACTATGCCCCTGCTGCTAAACAATCTCATCTTACTTGTAGTCTTTGGTATGAGGGTACAGCAGGAAAAATGGATTCTACAGATGGTAAAAACATAGGATTTGTTAAAAGACAGGAATTGATTAGTGAAAGTAAGGAAATAGAAATGATTGGTCATCTTCACGGTGACATTTTTAACCAAGATAAATTTTTAATTAATGGTGTTGAAATGAGTGTTAAATTGGTTCGATCAAGAGAGAGTTTTAATTTAATTGTTGGGTCAAACGATGTAAAGTTTAAAGTTTGCATTACGGACGCAACTCTTATTGTTCGACGAGCACAAATTAATCCAAGTGTATTACTCGCACATCAAAAAGTTTTAACTTCTACCACTGCTAAATATCCTATTACTCGAGCTGAAGTAAAAGTTTTAACAATTCCTTCGGGTGTTCAAGGAAAAACTCTTGATAATATATTTTTAGGACAGGTACCGAAAAGATGTATAATTGGATTTGTGAACAATTCTGAATTTAATGGTTCCCTTACTAAAAATCCATTTAACTTTGAAAACTATGGTATTAATTCTTTCAGCTTATATATTGATGGTCAACAAATACCTTCAAAAGCTTTGCAACCATCTTTTAATAATAGCATATTTACATCAGCATATCATACTCTATTCTCGGGAACTGGTATTCACTTTCTTAATGAAGGAAATGGAATCTCTTGTGAACAGTATGGCAAAGGTTACTGTCTATTAGCATTTGACTTAACTCCTGATTTATCAGCTAACTCATCAACTCATTGGAATCTCATAAAGCATGGTAGTGTAAGAATAGAAGTACGATTTGAATCCTCATTAATACAAACAATTAACTGTATAGTTTATGCTGAGTTTGATAATATTATTGAGATAGATAAAAACAGAAATGTTACTGTAGACTATAGTAGTTAAGGTATTAATATGTGTTGTGTGTTAGATTTTATGTGTTATGTGTAATGCATTTTGTGTGTATGTAACTATGTGAAACGTTATAAAATTAAATAAAACAAATTGTATGCAATATATTTTTTTTTTATTTCTTTATAAATCTTCTATTTAATCTAATACAAAACACTGTTCGAGTTGAAATTTTACATAAGCACACTGACTAAACCACTGAACATGCTGCTGCCAAGGATCATCATCATCTTCCCAATCTTTTAAACCACCACCACAATGGAAACACTTGGTCCCGTCTGCATGGCCAGTATAAAAGAAACCAGCTTCTGCAAGATCTTCAGGTTTCTGTCGCATAACGAGAGGCCAGTTTTCGAAGCTAAGCAAACGGCTAGATTTTGAACTGAAGAATGGATATTCAGCTCTTGAGTACTGCATACTCTTCTCGTTTTCTTCTCCACTCAGTGTTGTAGTTTTGTTATTCAATGATGTGTTTTGTACACGTATGCCACACTCATCTCTTCCTTCCGCTCTTGTCTTCCTGTAATTGAAGTAAACAGAATCACATTCACTAATGATCAGCTAATGACTGTCATTGTTAAAAAAGTATTTTTTAACTTTTTCACTTTCTGCTATTGTCTTTGTTATACTGTATACGAGGGCGTTTGTGTTGTCGTAGATGCTATCCTTATTAGTCTTTACGTAATATTTAATTCTCGTGGAAGCATGTTTCCAAAGATCAATAGTTGGAATCTTGGATAGCTTCTTCATATCGTACATTTCAATTTTGATGAGATGCGTCGCTTGGTCTCCGTCGTCAGAATTAGTAGAAATGTATGATACACCATCTCTAGCGGCTCGTGCTACGGTTGATGATAACAGCTTCCTCTTTTTTATTTTTGATTCAGCTTCAAAAAAATGATCAATCGATTGCGATTTTCTTTTTCCACCATCGCATGTGTTATTATTAATGACGAGGTTATCACTCTCTTCTTGAGGGGAGAGTGGCGAGTAGTAATACTGTTTATAGGTATCTTCATCGAAGCTCAATGATTTCTGCAACAATACAGTTATCATGTTAATATCAATTTGTTAACACTTAATCATAAAAGTTAAAAAAGTTAAAGTTACAGCCTATTAAAGTCCACTGCTGAACATAGGCCTCCTCTCATTTCTGAGAGGGTTTTAGAGCAAGGAAATGTCCGCCGCGCTCCCTCAATGTGTGTTGGCGAACTTCACATGCCTTCGAAATTTTCTCAGACATGCAGGTTTCCTCACGATGTTTTCCTTCACCACCAAGCACGTGGTAATAAGCACTTAAAATTGCGATTAACAATTTAATTGGTGCTGGCGGGGATCGAACCCGGGTCGCGTACTGTGAAATTTACAGCTAGCGCTAACCATCTGAGTTACCACGGCTTAATCATATACATACACAATATTTAAATAAAATAATACACACACATGAAAATAACAGAAAAAAAAGTAATTTAGTCAATAGAATAAACACTTACATCCATAGCCTTTGGTGTATTGAAGTAACACAAATGTACTATTGATAGATCCACTGTAGTCAAACGACCGTACACTAACTCGATGACTGCGTCTGTTGGTCTTATATACCACCAGTACGTAAAAATTCTAATCTAAAGTATTTCCGTAATGAGTTGATAATTACTTTATGCGTCAACCAGTTTATCTCACATTTCCGTTGTCTATCTCAACATTTCTTCGTATTGTGTTTTGTTTGGTGATCAATGACTCAAGTACGATTTGTATAACACAAAAATGCAATTTAATATTTAGAAATCACTATAATTGACCATTCCTATGTTATTCATTGAGTAGATTGGTACTGTAATAATCTACTAATAGCAGTAATATCATGGATACACTAGATGTACAACAACATCTGAAAAAGATTCACCCCAGTCTAGAAAATAATGTTTATGCAGCTAATAGACTGCCTATGTATACCCACGTACCAACGTATATAATATGCAATTTGGATACAGATGATAAACCAGGGTCACATTGGGTAGCTTTATATATCGATACGAATGACGTCGGTCAATATTTTGATTCATATGGACGATCACCTGTACGAAATCATCTAGAGTTTTTAAAAAGGAATTGTAAAAGATGGAACTGGAATGTTGATAGGATTCAGAATGAGTGGACTTCAGTTTGTGGCGAATATTGCTTAATGTATTTGCTATATAAGTTTCAGGGATGTTCAATACATAGTTTTACGAGTATATTTACAAGGAACACATTGTACAACGATATTTTAGTGGATGAGATGTTTCACTCCTATTTTATAGATCATAAGTAATAAGATTTTGTATTTTATAAATAAAAATTGTAACAAAATTATGTAATGTGTTTTATTGATGATTCAGATTAGCGTTGTATAATTAGGAACAAAGAAGTATAATACAATAGCACTGATATAGTCGACGCACACGCTGCAATGAAGGTGATTAATGAACAATAGAACAATAGAAATAGGAACAATGGGACGCTAATGACGGTGGAGGCCCTTACCGGATATCAATTAGATATTAGCTAATTGATCTGCACATCCCCGGAACCGTGCATCCTACGCAAAAATGGACCGCAGATTCGTGATCAGAGCTTGCCAAAACCACGTGTGTCGACGAACGTCGTTGAACCGCTTCTGACTCAGGTGGTCCAGAAGTGGTACAACTACACTACTGATACCACCATTTTTCTTAAAATCACACTAGACGCGAAGCTTCAATGGAGCCCCCATATATCTAAACTAGCAAGCAGACTTAGTTCTGCAGCATATGCTGTAAAAAAGATTAGAAGTCTAACCAGTGTAGAAACAGCTAGACTAGTTTACTTTAGCTATTTCCATAGCGTAATATCGTATAGTATTTTGCTATGGGGACACGCAGCTGACACTGAAATTATATTTGTTTTACGGAAGAGGGCCATAAGAGCAATTTATGATTTAAAGCCTAAAGAGTCGCTGCGACAAAAATTTAAGGAAATTAATATATTAACTTTGGCCTCTCAATACATTTATGAAAATGTAATGTACGTACACAAAAATAAAAGTAGTTTTACAAAAATAAGTGATATTCATTCTGTGTAAATACTAGGAACAGACACAAGCTAGTAGTACCAGTTACTCGACTCCATCGAGTCAGTAATTCATTCTTGGGGTGATGTATACGCTTTTACAACGAAATTCCAGAAAATATACAAAGTTTGACCTGCTCAAAGTTCAAAAACTTTACTAAACTAAGTTTGTATAAAAAGGGTTATTATAATATTAAGGAATTTATGGATGATAATAGCCACTGGAAATGAGGTGATCGCTACCAAGCTATTTCTAATTTGTTGTGTTGTTAATTTGTGTAACATCATGATTGTAAGCTGTTATTTAAAAAAAAGTCCCGCTGGGTTTCTTCCCAGGACAGAGGTTTTTTCCGAACCAGTGGTAATCAAACAAAAGAGTGACTTTCAATAAGTATTATTTATAATCTATATTGAATAAAAAAGTTTCTGATTCTGTTTCTGTTTCTGTTACATGATAATACCAAAGTATACAAACCAACAGCAACACTACACATCTCACTGTAAGAGCAACCTCTCAGAAACACCATTTTCCTCGCCTGCATCGGAAGAACCACCACAACGGACAGAACCACGATACTCTCTTAGCACTCGGAGCATGACTTCACTCGTAGAATGACTGAACTTTATACAGGGTTGCTCGATATACCCTCAATTCTACCCCGCCACCATCTGTAATATGACGCTCCGCTAGAGTGACGCAACCTCGAACTTTTAACAGTGGTAGAGCAACGCGGCAGCTTTTGCTGTCGGACGCATGGGCCGGCTCAACTACCCAAGGTGTACCAGCACTCCTGGTGATAGACAATCACTCGCTGAGCATCCACACCCAAGCTACCCTCAGCGTGGGTGCTCCGATTATCTACACTCACCATACGAAACATAGCAGCATTAAGCTGCTATTTTACGCTGGTAATCTGTGAGAGCGTGTTCCAATCCTGGTCGACCCATTCGTGCTATAACTATACTACTAATATAGCTGCAGCTAGGCTCTACCAAGTAAAATTTCTGTACTCTTAATGATGGCACTGCAACCCGTCGTACATCCCCTATCTGAAACATAAGTATCCCTGACTTTTCATTGCTTCACCTTTTCTAGCTAGTCTCCTTTCCTGGTCAGTCCTTCAGAACACTTACGGTAGTGACCATATCCTTATCCTGGTTGAATATCATAAATCTTCCATCCTAAAATTTTATCTGTCACATAGGTTTTGGGCGTTATATAAACCGACCGTTATACAAAACTGGCATAGGTGTGACATGGACGTTATCGACGATGTTGATAGTTGTTGGGAGCATTAAGCTCAAAGTTGTTGACGAGTATGTTTACCCGGGACAAATAGTCCAACTAGGTAAGTCCAACTTTGACTGAGAGGTCAATCGGCGGATTCAACTCAGCTGGGCAGCGTTCGGGAAATTAGGGCACATATTCTCGGCAGGTATACATATGTACCTCAAAACTTGAAAACGAGACTGTACAACCAGTGCGTCTTGCCAGTGATGACCTATGGTACTGAGACGTGGTCCTTCACTGCTCATTTCTAAGTTTATCACGCAGAGAAACCCCGAGTATAGCCCTCTCGAGTGACCTTGAGCTTTCTCAAACGGCCAGCAGTGAAGGACCATATACCAGGGCGACTGATAAGTTCGCGTCCTAGGGTAATTAACGATGAGTAATTAGCGTGTTACTCGTGTCACTAGTTGCAACACTCAGTAGTATTATAAAAGCAATCACTAATTAAGTTTGCACTAATGTCATTACGAAATAAGCGAACCCTCTATAAGGTTTGTATACGACCGGTTATGACTTACTCGGCTCCTATTTTTGCACACGCTAACGATAAAATTATTAACGAACTCCAAGTAGTTCAAAACCTCTTCTGTCGTCGAGCTACGAACGCACCTTG